AATGAGTGGGGAAGGGGAGGGGAAACACAGGAGGAGAGGCCCGGACCCCACCCTGGAGCCCACCCACACCCAGCCCTGGGACCCCACACCCCCGAGCCCGTCCGCCCCCGCCCCCTGGCCCTCACCCGGCCCACCTCGAGGATGTCGACCACCACGCTCTCCTCCGCCTGCCGCGAGCTGCGCACGTCCTGCAGCACCAGCGAGTAGCGCTCGCCCCGCGGATCCGACTGGTACAGGTTGTACGTGTCCGCCTGGTACCACTCCTGCACTGCCACGAACACCTGGTTCTCATCCGTGCTGATGATCTGCAGGTCCTGGGGCACACGAGGGCACGGGTCAGAGGCCGGGGATGGGCGGAGGCCAGGCGGAGGGTGCGCAGGCCGGGGGCCGGGGAGAACCCTGGGGCTCTCTTGAGGTGGGGCCGACGGAGGGAGGCCTGCGTCCCGGCTCTGGGCTCGGTGGCCTCGGACGAGCCCCTTCCCCTCCCCAGGCCTCCGTGTTCACACCTGTGGAATGGACAGATGGCCATGCCTCCACCAGGCTGCCGGGAGGGATGCCCAGGGATGCCTCCTCTCCCGGTCCCACATCAGGCCGTCTGTCCGTCCGTCGGCCCAGCGGTCGGGAGGAGACGTTCTTCCTCTGCACCGCCTGATGGCCGGCGGCTCTAGGGGTGAGGGCCAGGGCTCCCTCCCCGCTTCCTGTCCAGAGGGCCAGACGAACCCCTGTTCCTGCCTTCATGCGACACACATGCCAGGATTTGCTAAGCGCCAGATGCAGCGAGAGCCAGACGCAGCCCCCATCCCCTGGGACACGCCACCGGCAGGCAGGAGTTCGTGGATTCATCGCTCAAGCACCATCCAGGGCGTTATCTCCTGGACACCCATCTGGGACCCTAGGCCCTTCGGTCCCTTGGGGACTTGCGCTGCCCGTCGGACAATATACCCGCCAGGGCACAGGAGCCGAGGGTGGGTGGGGAGGAGGACCGGGCTGCTTCCCCTCTCCCAGCCGGCAGAGCTGCCACCGCCCCCTCCGGTGGGAGGAAATAGGGAGGGGCGTTCTTTCCCCCGGGCAGTAGCAGATCCAAGCTTCAGCCCAGTGAGGCAGCAGCTGTCCAAACAGGTTGCTCAGGCCAGGCTGGCCCTGAGCGCGGAGCTGGCCCCGTCCCCTCTGCACCTGGCAGCCACAAGGACTTTTCAGGAAAGGGGTGTGACATGGTGAAGCACCTACCACACACCCCACACCCAGGGAGGGCCTGCATCGGTGGACGTAAAGCTAACACAGAAAGGACTGGAGCATAAGGCTGGGTGTGGTAGTGTACACCTGCCATCCCAGCACTTTGGAAGGCTGAGGCGGGAGGATCACCGGAGGACAGGAGTTCAGGAGCAGCCTGGGCCACGGCGAGACCCCAGCTCTCCCAAAAATTTAGTGATGAGCCGTGCGTGGGGGCGTGAGCCTATAGTCCCAGCTCCTCAGAAGCCAAGGTGGGAGGATCACTTGGGGCCAGGAGTCTGAGACCAACCTGGGCAACATGGTGAGACCGTGTGTCTCTACAGCATATATGAAAATTAGCTAGATGTGGTGGTGCGTGCCTGTAATCTCAGCTACTTGGGAGGCTGAGGTGGGAGGATCACTGGAGCCCAGGAGTTCAAGGCTGCGGTGAGCTATGATCAAGCCAGTCACTACAGCCTGGGTGATAGAATTCGACAGAAGAAAGGAAGGAAGGAAGGAAGGAAGAGAAAAAGAAAGAAAGGAAGAAATGACTGGAACAAGACATACACAACTTGAGAAGAAGGACAGAGGAGGGTGCTCAGGACTTTGGGGTCCCAGTCTGTGAAATGGGGGACCATAGGGCGACACCTGTCAGGGACCCACCGGAGTAGGCATGTTGCTGCTTGTTCCTTCCTGCCTCAGTTTCCCGGTTCCTCCCTACTCAGTGCCATGGGGCACTGGTCATTCTGCTGCTCTTCCAGGGGGAGGCTTGCCCACCGGCTGGGGCTGCTGCGGAGAGGCCGACCCTGTGGTCAGAGTGACGTGTGGGATGAGGATCCCAAGGGGGTGGGATCATGGGTGCTCCAAGCTCGGGGGTCCTGACACTGCCACGTGGTTTCAGTATTCAAGCGGCTGCAGCAGGTCCGACTTGGCCTCCTGTGCCCTTGGGGAAAGGGTTCCACAACCCGGAGACATGGGTTGGGTGGACCTTGTCTCTACAATAATCCAGGAGACAAAGTGACTCCAAGTGACCCGCGAGGCCACTCTAGAGAGACATGATACTCGCGTTTTAAAATGTTTGCATTTGGGTGTTTCCCGGGGATGAGTCATGTCTTTTTTAATGTCGACTTCAGAGCTTGCTCTTTTACAGGATATGCCAAACATTTTTCTCTGCTGTTGGGAGTTATCTAGAAGCATCACTTTGTTTTTGCTTTTTTGTTTTTTTGAGTTGGAGTCTCACTCTGTCGCCCAGGCTGGAGTGCAGTGGCACGCTCAAGGCCACCCCAGTGTTGACCTGCTTGGCTCCGGCGATCCATCTGCCTCAGCCTTCCAAGTAACTGGAACTACAGACACATGCCACCACGCCCAACTAGTTTTTTTTGTTTTTGTTTTTGTTTTTTTGCGATTTATTGTAGAGACGAGGTCTTGCCAAGCTGCCCTGGCTGGTCTCAAACCCGCGGGCTCAGGCAATCCACTCACCTTCGCCTCCCAAAGTGCTGGGATGACAGGCTGAGCCACAGAGACCGGCCAGTATTCTTTTAAAAAATCTTTGCAAGTAAACAACTCAAGCAAAGGATGTCTACAAATATAAAAAAACCTGTTCGTCCTTCATGGTTTTTACAGACAGGTAAATTTAAGCAGCAGAATGGTATCAAGGAAAATAGAAAAAAAATGGTAAAACACAACATTTGGCAAAGCTACGTTGAAACTTATCTATCCCAACTTTGTTGGTGGCCGAGTAGAACGTTTTCAGAAAGCAAATTAACCGCACAAGGAATCATATCCTTGGCCCAGAAGTTCGTTCCAACCTTTAACTTGAGAAAATTAAAAAGAAATACTCGCAAGCACACATACACCCAATGCAGCACAGTTTACACGTGTGAAACATGGAAACTACCAAATGTCCAAGCAGCAAGAGTCTGGCCTGGCTAAACCCAGTGCGATCTCCTCACCGTGAGAAGTCGAAAGCTCTGCCGTCATTCAACGTGGATACCATGTTCCATTCTAGAAAAATTCCCCTGCTGCTGCGTCCCGAGAAGGCAGGCTGTCACCCCAGGGCCTTCCTGAGATTTGGCTATGGAACGGTCGCCTCGGTGTGTGGCCAAGGACGGGGGAGTCGGGGTTGGGGGGGAGAAGGGAAACCTTAACAAGGGCCAGGGAGGGAAGCTTGCGGGCGAGTTTCCCCCCACCTCCGCTCCGACTCCTGCTGTTTGCGTGAGGTTTAAGGCAACGGAAATTTTGAAAAAAAAAAAAGAAGATGGGGTGGCCTGGGGGTGGGGACAAAACAGGCCACTGCTGCACATTCACCACGAAAAAACGTCTGATGAGGACATTCAATTCTCCAGGTCTGCACGGTGTTGACGACACACACGGGGCCCGCCGCGCTCCTGAGTGCGGGCACGAGGAAGCACCCGGCTGGCTGGGCGAAGCCCTCGGCGACACGAGATGCGGTCAAGAAGACACTGGAGGCTCTGGGGCCCCTTCTCTGGAGAGCGAGCGACTTGCCTGTCATCTCCAAACCTGTCACTGGTCCCGGGCACACACCCCTGAGCTAGGACCCTGAGAACCACAGCAAATGCCACCGCTCGGGACGGACGGGCCCCTGGTCCTTCCTCGGAGCGGAATGACATGCAGTTGTGTGTGTCTGCCACCCACTAATGTGACGTGGGGTCGTCCCGTTCATTCAAGCCTCGCGGCTCTTCTCAATGACCCCGATTTCCACAGACACGCGGGGGAAGGGAGCTAGCGTGAAACACACACCACCGGGGGTCCACCGCGGGAGACACACCGTGTGCCTCCTGCAAGTCTCACTGGTGACTCTGGGAAACACACACCGTGGCACAACATCTGCAGACAGGATGCCGAGGTCCAGGGGCCACAGCTCAAGGCCCCAGAGGTCACGGCCTGCAGCCACGGCTCCTTCAGAGGCTGGCTGGATCTGGGCTGGCCGCCCTCAGCCCCGAATCCCAGGAGAACAGAGGGGACCTCCGCAAGGGCCTGCCTCCCCGCTCCCACCCCAAGACCAGGACCGAGTGCCAAGCCTCAGGGCGCCAGGACAAGGGGCCAAGACTCAGGACACTTCCGTGCTGCGGCCCCAGCGCCAACACCCCAGAGGAGGGCCCCCCACACGCCGAAAGGCCCCCGCCCCCGGGGATGCCCTGCCTGGGCCCGGGATGAAGCCACTCGCTTGGAATTTATCGACGGAGCCGAGCCTGGAGCTGACCTAAGAAGCCTGCTGCTTCTTCTCTTCTCTCTCCATTTTCTTCCCCATTTATTTTTTTGAGTCGGAGTCTCACTCTGTCACCCAGACTGGAGTGCTTGCCACCGCAGCCTCGACCCGCTGGGCTCCGGCGATCCTTCCGCCTCAGCCTTCCGAGGAGCTGGAGCTCCAGGCGTGCGCTACCACGCCCGGCTAATTTTTTGATTTACTGTAGAGATGAGTTCTCGCCAAGTTGCCCAGGCGGGTCTCGAACCCGAGGGCTCAGGCCATCCACTCGCCTCGGCCTCCGAAAGGTGCGGGATGACAGGTTGAGCCACCGAGCCCGGCTTTCTTCCCCAGTTTTAAAGGGAAGTTTTAAAAAGACCTCCTGGACGTTTCCCATTTCCGGCTCAAGAGAGGTCCACATGCCCGCCACAGAAGCGCATGTGTCCACGGGCTTCACAGCAACCCACGGCCTTGCACTTGGGGGCCGGAACAGCCGTCTCCTCCTCTGCCCCCTCGCTCCTGCCCCGGGGCCTTTGCTCCTGCCCTGCCCGTCACCGGAACTCCCTTCCCCTTGCTCTTCCGAGGCAACTTCATTCCCTTCGGACTTCAGAGGAAATGCCCCTCCCCAGAGTATGCGCGCGCATACACACACGCAAACACACACACGCACACACACACGCACACACAGGCAGGCACACATGCATGCACGCACACACACAACTCTCTGTCTCTGCCCCTTGACCCTCCACAGTGCCAAGCACCACGATTTTACCCTCTGTGCCCCTGCCCTTCCGCCTGTCCTCTGCCCGAGAGCCGCACGGGGGCGGGAGCCTGGGGCCGACTCGGCGCAAGCCACCTCTGGGCGCAGCCCACTAAGTGCGCGGGCGGCAAGGGAGGGCTCCGTCTGTGTTTCCAAACGACGCGCACGGGACCGTGATCAGCGAAGCGTGCCACCCAACGTCCTCAGGAGGGAGTCGCCGGCTGGGGCCGGGCCGACGCACCGGGCCCGAGTGGAGCCCCGCTTTTGTGTCTAACTGGCTGGGCGACCTCACACAGGTGACTCAGCCTCTCTGACCCACCACCAGCATTTCCATCACGTGGGACTAACATAGGAGTGGGTGTTAGGTCCCCGGGGCCAGGCCGGGGCAGGGCTAGGGCAGCTCCAGGGCCCCCCTCTCTTTGGCTGCCTGGGCAAGGGGGAGGAAGCAGCATTAATTGGGCACCTGCTGTGTGCCAGGCACCCTAGGCGGTTGGATGCAGAGGTGAAGAGAGCAGAGCCGGCCCCTCGCCACTCCTGGGAAGGACAGACGAGCACGGGAGACGGACACGGGCGCAGGGGGTCCCTGGCACTTGGGCGTCAGGATGAAGGGAGGGGCGGGGTCGCTGGCAAGTGACGCTTGGCCTGCAGCATCACCTGGCGAGAGTTTGGGGGTAAGACACACGGGGCGCATTGACGAGCCTGGCGGGGTTCCCGAGACAGGACGAAGCCGGACGCCTCTGCGGCTGGAAGGGCCAGGAGGGCTGGAACGGAGGGTGTGGGGGAGAGTGGTGGAGGAGACCTGAGGCCGTGCCCTTGTCCCGGAACGGCTGAGGGCGAGTGCATGAGCAGGCTCAGACCTGGCCCCGGGCCCGGCGGGAGGCAGCGGCTCTTACCTTGGGCAGCGCATACTTGGGCAGCTTCATCAGGACGAATTCGCTGCGGCGATAAGAGACGTAGTATTTGGTCCGGTTGGTTGATGTTGCCTGACGGCCGGGAGAGATTTTTAAGGGGCTTGATTTCCCGTCCACCCAGATCCTCACGACTGAAAAACTACACATTGCATTCGGTCGGTGAACACACCCTTTGACTTTGCTTATGCCTGTTCTGCCTCACGTGAACAGACTCCTACTCATCCCTCAGAACCCTATGGCAGAAGCTCTTCCTCTGGGAAGTCTCCTTCTGCTCCTTTCATTTGGAACCAGCCTCTTTGCCCATCCCAATCATGGAACAAGGTGGAAAATATTCCATTTCCCAGAGCTTCTCTTCAGGAGAGTACTTTGGGGAGCCACTGGATAGAGAAGAAGACAGGCCAGATATAAGCTCAAGTCCCGGAAAGGCGGACTGCCAAGCCTCGGGGCGTGGCACACAAGCGAGAGGCCTCACTTCCCGGGCACTGTCAGGTGGCCGCACCTTCCCGAGGGTTTTCCAGGGCAGCTCATGGGATCCTGTAAGAGTCAACCCCACGAACTGTGGGCCTGCGTCCGCAGATACAGAATGCCCCCTGGGACAGGGCTGATCACGGGGCACCAGTCCCTGACCACAAGGGCCTGGCAGCAGCGGAGCAGAAGGAGAACAGGCCTCCAGGCTGTGACGTGCAGAGCGGGGGGGCGAAGGGGACTCGGACCCCTTCCCCATCTCAGCGCAGGCTGAGGACGGCCGAGGGCCAGCGTGGGGGACGAGGGGGAAGGAGCGTGGGGCCAGGAGACGCTTTTTGGGCAGTGGGCGGGAAGACGGGACCGACAGCGCCCGGCAGCCCTGACAGCCGGAGGAGCGGGAGCCCGGCACCGGGTGCGTGCAGCTGGGCCTGGGCTTCTCCTGTCCCACACAGATGAGGTCACCTGTCCCCCAGCATGAGCGTCGGGCAAGGCCACTCTGGGACCGTGACCGAGGGAGACCAAGACGAGACGCTGTGCCATCAGGTCTGGACTCAGACCAACCCCCAGATGCCCAGACCCCGGGCCTGGCTGGGCTGGGTGGGGGTTGCGTCTCCAGCCCCGGCTGTGGACCCTCGAGCCGCCTCCCTCGACGAGACGGAGACGCCCGTCATGGCGTGACTCGCCTCCGGACAGTTCCGTCCTAGCCAAGCGCGGCCCCTCGTGTCTCTGAGGTCACCGCCCCACAGCCCACCCAGCCACGAGGCCCTTCTAGCCCTGCCACTGTGACGCCAGGTCCCCAGGGCGCACGTCCCTTCGCTGCACCGCGCGAGAACCCAGCCTGTCCAGCCACGGGGGTGCTCCTGGGGTCTCGGGCCGGGGACACAGACAGCCCAGACCTTCGAGTGTTAGAGACCCCTCGGCATGAGAGGTGGTTGCCAGAAAAGCTGACGCCGTCTTTGCGCCAATACTCAGCGTATGTTTGAGGAAACCGCCATGCGAGGTGTGGGGGAAACGGGGTGGGGCCAGACCTGGAGCCCAGCCTCAGGTGGCCTGCGTGGGGTTTAGGGACAGGAGGAGTAAACGGTAAAGAGTGACACAGTAGGGCAGTGACCGAGGAAGGTCCGGGGTGGGGGTGGGTCTGAATGGAGGCGAAGGTCAGGGAGGACTTCCTGGAGGAGGCGGGGCATGCCTGAGGCTTGGGGAGGGAGCAGAAATCAGCCTCTGGAGAAGAGGGGCACAGACATTACAGGCACGGGGAGGACTCGGAAGCCATCAAATCCTGGAGCCGTGGAGGCCGGGCAGGGCTGGAAGTCAGGGCCAGGGGCGGCAGGAGCTTTGTCCGGCGGCTCTACTGGGGCCAGGATGCCCCTGCCTGTGCCAGCCCCTAATCCCATGGTGGCCCCGAGCGCTCGCTGAGTGTGAAGAGGGGAGCCGTGGTGACCAGGCATTCTTGAGACGGGCAAGCAGGAGGCTGGGGGCACCGAGGGTCTTCCGGGGAGAGCACCCCGAGGCTGCCCTCAAGGGGCGGCTTGTCTCACAGGGTCCCAGAGGGCAGGGCCAAGGGATGGGGGTGGAGGAAAGGCCATCTCAGGGCCAGAGGGGACTGCCTAAAGGTTTGCGCCATCCGGGAGAGGGCTTGGCTGCTTTACAAGGAGTGAGCTCCTCGTCCGTGGAGGCGATCAGGGTGTATGACCTGCTGTTTACTCGAGTTTCTGAATTAGCTAGGACAGTGTGGTTGCGGAAACAGGGTAGCCCTCCTTCTGACCCACGGGCCCCGGGGACACAGGTCCCTGGGGTGTGGACCACTGGTGCCTGGCAGTCGCGGGCCGTGGCCAGAAACGGCTCTTTCCAGGTCCAGGGTCACAGATGAAACCAAATGGGCTAGACGGTTTAGGTCTGGGGTCCCCGAGGGTGGGGAGGCTCCCGGTGGGGAGGGAGAGGCA